CATCTTCCCTCCTATTCATCCACATCCATAATCTCAGCTCAGGGCAGAATTTGTCACCTGGCTTTCTGGTCTCATGACCCTAGTCACTCTTCTTTCTAATTCAGTGTTGGTATTCCTAAAAGACTGATGGCATTACATGACTCTTTTGCTCAAAGACCCATCTGTGAATTTCCAAAATTCTCCTAAAATCCAACCTCCTTAAAAGCAAGGTCTTTGAGAATCTGGAGGCTCCCTAGCATTCCTGCTCGCCAAACTCTCCACATGTACCCTGAACTCCAGACATATGACATGCTTACTCCTCCTACAATGCACCAATCTTCCTATTGCTTGCTTGTGCCTCTAAGCCTTTGCACATATTTTTCCTTCTGCCTGGCAGTCTTCTTTTCCTTCTCTGTCACTCTCACTCTTCTTACTCATCCTCTAAGCTCATCTTTCTTCCTCATGCCACCTAGATGGATTCCAGAGCAATCCTATAGTCCAATATTCACAGTGGAGACATCTTGCCCTTATCATATGACATTCTCATAATACACTGATTTTTTCTGTCTCTCTTATAAAACTGAAACCACCCCCTCCCCTTAAATGCAGGATACATCTGGCATAGTTCTTGGAAAATAGTAGACTCTGAAGACATTTTTGTAGATTGAGTGAATTATTGAGGAATGTGCTATCCTGCACCCAGGAAACTTACACATCGCCAAATATTTTCAATGATAATGTAGAACTGAAAACCATCACTTGCCTTTGCTACCCGTTTAATAAACCAGCCTTTGGAGCTCTGGTTGACCAAAGTCATAAAAACCATCAAATGAGAAGCACATATACTCCTAGTGAGATTTGCACGTCGAGTTTGGCAACCAAAGACCATCAGTGTCCAGGTTAAATTCCAATTACATAGAGTGGTTTTGTTATCTATCCTGATGTATGGCTCTAAGTCCACATTTCGTTTAAGATAATGGTGTTTCTAGTGACAGTCATACGAAAATATGTCCTCAAAATAGGTTACTAGACTGGAGAGAATCTCTTTCCATCGCAAAATGTCTGGATCTGTGTATGATTTGAATAGTAACAGCAGCTTCATGGTGTGATGAAGTTAGTCAACACATGATATAGCTGTGGATTTGAAGGAAATGATAGTAGCAGGCAGATGGACACATAAGCCTGGCCAGAACAAGCAAGAATAGAGGAGATTCTTCACAGCAAAGATCAACCACGAGGCAAAGGAGAACTCAAAGGGCAGCTGCAGAATGGTGGGAAGGGCTCTGGACTAGGAGGAGGGGACATGTTTGAGTCTTGCCTCCAGTCTCTGAAGTGGGCATTTCCCCCTCCAAACTGCCAGTTGTCAACATGTATGTGTGTGTGTGTATAGATAAAGTAAGATAATTCTTCTAGCAGCCCATTAAATATGATAGGGTACAATATATAGGAAAATCTTACCATTAAATTATAATACAATTGTCAAAGGGGTGATTGGAAAAGACTGCTGGTCACCTACAGATTTTCAATTTACTCCTTCACCTGGAAACATGCTAAAGTCTTCCAATTTCAAAAACAAACAAACAAAACTTAAACTTAATTTTTTATCCACATCTAGCTATTTTTGCCTTCTTTCTCCTTTACTTCAGAACCAAGCTCCTCAAGTCAATAATACAAAGTTATTTATTATTTCCCATTGCATTGAGGCTTTGGACCCCAATACCCTGGTCGCCACCACTAGATGCCTTTTTGTCCTCCTCTTACATTATTTCTCTGTGGCTTTTGACATTTGTTTACCCTCTCCTTCTTGACACTCTTTCCTTTGTCTTCCATTTCCTCCTGGTTTTCCTTCCACATCTTTGACCATTCCTCCTCAGTCCCCTTCACTAGCCCTCTTCTTCAGTTTGTCTGTGAAGATTAATGCCCTACCCCAACCACACACACACACACACACACACACACACACACACAGAGCCACCTTCGAAAAGAGACTCCTTGTCTCCTGTTCCCTTCTGTTCTCGGGCAGATTACCTGAGATGTTTGTACATAGTAAGAGGAGATTTATACTTATGGAAATTTGGATATAGATTAATAGTATGGAGAAAAATATAAACACTGAACCTGTCCAAGAAGTTTTCAGCAAGGGTATTGTTGTAGAGGGAATGATGTAAAGGTGCTAAATTCTTATCTTCCATACAAAGAAATTAGTAGATAATATTCAAAACTGAAAAAGGAGGACTCTGTAATATAATGTTGTTTTAAATATGGAAATAAACACCAGGAAAAAAAGTCAGCTAGAAGAGTTGACAGTACTCCTCTGAGGAGTGAGAACTGTAGGAAGTCAGAGGCAATTGGACAGAGGACTGCTGTTTCTCACAATACCCATTCTAATACCATTTGCCTTTTTAAACTTTGTGCACATTCGTATAAAAGGCGATGGGGATACTGTTCAAAGCCACCAGTTTCCTCATATATAAAATCAGCATTTTGATGTAAAATTTGCCTAAATGAAAAAAAGATAACTGGCACCATTCCAAAACAGACCTCCAAGAATGGAGCAATAAAACGGGGGGGAAAAATGCTCACATGGCAGTTGAAGGAGGAGACGAAACGATAACTGCTGTCTGGAATGATAAAGAATTCACCACACACCCCCTGTTCTATTAAGCACAAAGCTATATTACGACAACCAACTCCTAAGTCTTCATCTGTCTGTTATGAGCTACTGCCGTGCTTGCCAATGGGAGTCTCCTAGGTAAAATTCCATCTGCCAATTCTTGTTTCTGATGTTAAATCTGTTCTAAGTCTATTTGATTCTTAATTTAGATGTTAGAATAAATACCACAGCCTTATCTTTTAGGTCACTTAGGATAGCTCTCTTAACTCTATACACTGAGTATCAAAAAATTCAAATACAAAATCCTTGACAGCTTATCAAGGGTTTCATATTTATTGGACCTATATCTTCTGTATAAAATATATTATGAAAGAAACGAACACAGCACTTTCCACAGAGTCATGTATATTCCATGTTGTAGGATATATATTGGGAAGCCCCAGTGGGGCATCTTATAGAAGTCTTTGGGGCTTTACAAGTGTTATTGGATTCCAGTCTCAATAATTGGTCTGATATATCTTGTTTACAGGCATTCCTGATTAAAAAACATAGAAGAGCTAGGTGGGTAGAGGAGGAGGGGTGAGGAAGGAACATTCATTAGCAATCTCAAACTAAAAGGTAGTCATAATCCATAAACTATTGACCCAATAGACAGAAATTTCCTTTTGTTTTAAATCAATTAACATTTATACATGGGCCATTAAAAAGCCATCACGTTTATAAGCCATTACAGTGTGCACCTATTGTATTGATTAGCATGCAGTCAGTTATTAATTAATGACATCATCACTCTCAAACCTCTTAAACGTTTTAGGGCCTTAAAGACACACGGCACCCACTAGAGCCAAGTACCCCACACTTGGCATGCTGCATAGCCTTGAGCAGAAAAGTATGTGTTTACAGATCTTCTGTCTATCCTAATGCATCAGTCAGCCCGTAATATTGCATGGTGTGTCCTCCAAAATATCGCATCTCATTTTATAAGTAAGCCGTATAAATCTCCAACGATACAAGAGTTTTAACATTATTTGTATGAGTGATAGCAGTATATAAACTTCTCAGTGCATACCCAGGATGAAAAGTACAGTAATCTACAATGTATGTACAATGACTGCCATCTAAAGCTCAACGCCTCTCTCACCATAAATCCCCTCTTATTCTGTTCCTAAAGTACCTAACGAAGTGAGGCCTAAGCTGTATGAAAACAAACTCTGCAAATGCTGTAATCTCAAATGTGCTTCCCTTAATGCAATACAAACCAAATGATATTTTTTAAAATATCTTTTCTCCTCTTTATCATCATTTACAAGATGATTGTCTCTTTAGAAAATAAAGGTGTCTTTAACACTTTGAGAATGAAAATTTTAGTTCAAATTTCTACCTAGATTCAAGAGAACTAGAGTAAGACCCTAAATCACCCTGTAACGCAGAATCACTGCCGTTTACTTGAACACCACAGTCTGTTAAGGAACAGCACACTAACACATTGATAAAAGTCACATTAAGTGCACAATAAGGTCATAGAGTAAAAGCTACCCCCGGGAATCTGATATCTGCTCCAGAATGCTAACATCATCTTTCTATCTAAATCAGATTGACCTCTGAAGAAGACAGACACACCACAAAATAACAGATTCCCCCCACCCCCATTACTCCTAATCATGAATAAGCTAGTTAAATTTGGTGTTCTCCATAAAACTGTTTAAATAATATAGAAATTTAATTAACATTTCTTCTTTTTTTCAATTGTATTTTGTGGCTTAAAGAAGCTTCCCAATAGAGTTTCATTAAATAAGCACAAGAATGAGACCAAACCACCTGAATTAAAATTCTTCATTTTCCCACTGTCTTCTCCTCTGGGGTCTTAGCAAATTATTCATCATCCTCATTCAGAGTCATTGCAAAAAGAAGGTTGGACAAGTTTATGTTAATTAAGCCTGTTGAGGATGCAATAACGCATGGCCACATTGAGTGTGCGGTATCATCTCTCTGTCTAACATCGTTACGGGCTCGCTGCTCAGGCTGGAAGACGGAAGGAAAGCACCCTTGTAAGATGATATTATTACTATTACCGTCATCAGTATCATTATTTTGCCACAAAAGAGCGCTCTCTCATTAGGTTAGAGACCATCCTGAAATCATGATTACAACATAAGAGTGTAGGGCAAGAAGCAGGTTAAATCAGGCTCCGGCATCTGGGGCTTATAATAGAAATCAGGTGTATTTGCTTTTATGGAAGATTTTGGTTCATGGAACAGTTTTTTGGGTGATTTTTTTTTAAACCACAACCAAGATAAGCTTATTTCTTCCATAAAGGAAGACATCTTTTTTTTAATAAAATTGGCAGTGAGGGTATGTGTAAGGCAAATTGTGACTGAGCCAATAATCTGTCATTCTTACCATCCAGAATGTTCACATGAAGATATAAACAGAAAAAGAAGCCACTTCATATGTAAAGAAAAAGGAAGATGCTTCCTCAAGATCTCAAAAGCTCGGATTCACACTCCTCATCCTCACAGAGAAGGCGAGGTGAGCAACAGAGAAGGTATGAAGGGGAAGAACGGCTACACTAACGGGGGGACAGTCCCCATGGGTTATTTTACAGTACAGACAGTAAAGTCTAAACAAGTACCGCTGGTAGGTTTGGTAATACTGCTCTCATTGTCTTCATGACAGATAATCATAACCTACTATGTGGTTAGGACACAGGTACAAACAGGCTTTTCTCTAGAAAGAATGACACCACCTCTCACCCCAGGGCCCTGAGATTATTAATGGATCATTAAAGGGCTCGGGGCAAATTCTCCCCTCAGCCTCCCCTCTTTCTGTCCCTTGAAGTCCTTGGGATTAAGTGAGTGTCTCTCCATTTAAGGGAACATTCGTGGCGGCTGAAAGCTACCATTCAAGTGCTTTGGGTACATCTCACTGTCTCAGATAATTATAGAAAGGTTGAGCAATTTAAAAAGAACACATTCGCTGACCCAAAAAAAAGAAAAACCACCTCTCTAAGAATGCATGCACTAGCTATGTGGAATAGATCATTTTACTGGCACTTCTCTTAGATGTCACAGCCATAGTCAGCTTCTGTGGGCCCAGGAGCCTCTTCACTAATGATCTTAGTTTACCTTAAAACAAAACAAAACAAAACACACAGTTAGATTGGAGCTTACCTAGAGAAAATTATATCGGGTCTCTCACTACTCTGAGATCACAGGGGAAAGGGAGCTCAAAGGAACAAAATGTGTTAAACATCCATTGTGTGCCAATGATTTTCTGTGTAAATGGTTCTCACATCGATTTCTCACCATAACACCCCTGTTTGAGAGATGAGGATCCTGACACCTAGGGAAAACCACAGCTTGAAAGTGCTAAAGGCTACATTTGAACCCAGCTCTTGCTGATGCTGAAGCACACTTCCTCACCACTCCACCAGCCAGCCCCCCTTAATTGCATTTGGTTGAGGATACACCTGTAACAGTTATCAAAGGATTCCTTACACCGCAGAGCTTAGTACCCAATTAAGACAATGCAAAGCAAGGGCTCACATGTTTAGTGTCGTTGTCTCTATTAATCCTGCTTTGAAGCATGGGTCAGGGTGCAGACAGATGTTGTGAACCACGGCCTGCCATGCATCATCTAACGGAGGACTTCCCAGCAAACAGTTGGTGTTTACTACTTATCAAGTTTTCTTGACAAATACAGAAAACAACAGCTCCAGGGAAATGGGTCACCTGTACATCATAGTTTCTCCCAGTGGCAAAGAACTTTACTTTTTCATTAAGAATGTGATAGAGTAAAAAAAAAAAAAATCAGTCAACACGAAATCGAAAGTAATTATTTATGCCTCTTCAAAAACCTCAAACCTGTAATTTAAAAACAACAAAAATGGCAAAATTAAAATTGATAGCAGCATGAATTTTCATGTACACAAACACACCATATAGCCATGTGTGCTTTAAGGGAAATGTTCCCTGTCTTATGAGAGAGAGGCAACTTGTTATGATTTGTGCACACTTTTGTGAAATACCAAGGAGGGGAAAAAACCTCCTGTCACTTGTCAGCTAGTTCAGTCCCTGCTGCCGTAGAGGTACCATAACATATGCACGTCCCCTTCTGAAAATGTATCAGAAGGGGTTTTGGTAAACTCCTGTACGAGCATATCATATGTGCTAAAGCCAAAATGACTTAAATTCTATTCCCTGATGGATCTGCACATCAGATGCGTAACTGATTAGTGACAACTGACACAGAAACAGTGAAAATGTTCACTGTTAGGACGAACACACGATTCATGCAGGAGTGCCATCAGGATGGCAAGCGACACTTTTTGTATGTACAGAAAGTATGTTCGTCTCCCAGGAGAAATTCCTCGTCAAAGACCTTTGCCCGGGAAGTACTAAGCCCTCAAACGGACTTGGAGATATTTCTTCAAGAATGCTTATCGACTGAATGTGTTCATCATTAGAAGCATAAACATTCCACTCTTCAGTGAAAAATAATTCATTCACAAATACTTCTCAAGTGCTTACTCTGTGCGGTGTATATACTTCACTAAAGCATAAGTGACAAGGAAAAAATAAGCTGGTGGCATACAGGAGTTAACATGTAAAGTGATCAGATCATGTGCATGACTCATACACTGAACAGTTCTCAAGGATTTCAAAGGCAGGACCTCCAAGGATGAGTAACTTACACCAAGAAAGAGTTCAAGCATTAGAGAAAAGGATCACATTCATCCTATATATGAAAGACAAATCCACGAAACACTGAATTCCTCAACTTGTTCATTTTTATCTGTCCTTCAGGAAAGTTACCATGAGTATTTCACTAACATAGGGAAAATTATGTCATAGCATTAAGAATAATAAAGAATTCGAGCCAAGCGTGAAACAGACCTAGAACTATTGTCTTCTTTTGGAAAAAGCAAAACTGTATTAGATAAGTGATTTCTACAAGTCTCACATTGGCAAAAATGGCACGTACCCTTGGCCTTAACTTTCACTTGATTTTTTTTGTTTACCTTTTTTTTTTTTTTTTTACTCTTCAGGAAGTTTTTCTCTCCCTAGATATGGACATGATTCATTTTGTGATGTCCTTCCCACACCTCTCAAGGTTTGTGGTACACGATGAGGAAAGTTGTATGTGAGGTTTCTGAGAGTCAAAGGAAAACAATCCTAGATTATACCCCACTCCCATATTTCTTATTGTGAGTAGTTTGTGTGGGTTGTTTAGTTTCTCTTCCCTAAAAGCTTACCTCTTGACCCCTACCTACCCACCTCCCAAAAATCTGGTTTCAAGCTCATTGAAAGGAAGGCTTCCCTCTGCTATTATCTCTGCTCCTTCAGATCACAGGGGAAGAGGTCATGAAAAGCACCTAAAACCAATGCCATCTTGGCCCCAATCCCAAGTGCTGTGACAACTAGCCGCCTCCTAGAGACACGAAATATTATTGGGAGGGTACAAGGCCTTCCTGGCCACATCTTATCAGAGCAGTAGGAAGAGGTGGCAGAGCACAGAGATCAGACGAACTTCTAAGTACGGCACCTGGTGGTCGACTGGGATCCCTTCTTATTCCCACATGCATTCGAAGACCCTTCTTGGTCCTTGCCCTTTGTCCCTCTCCCTTCAGGTAGCACTTGCACAGAAAGCTGCAGCAGATGTGCCCTCTCTGGGATGGTGGCGGGCCTGTCCTGCCCAAGGACGCTCTGCCCTGCACGTTTGGCCGCCTGGTACTCCTGCCCTCGGAGATCTCTGCAACCCGTGCCTCCCGCCCCCATGCCAAGACCATATTCTGACTTCTGTGCCAAAGCCAGCCACTCCAGAAGGCTATGTATTTAAAGTTTTCCACACCAGAAGAAGTGCGGATGGAGGAAGATGCATTTCTTTTATTTATTTATTTATTTATTTATTTAAATTCAGTTAGCTGACTGATGGCACATCATTAGTTTCAGGTGTAGTGTTCAATAAATTTTCAGTTGCCTATAACACCCAGTGCTCATCTCATCACATGCCCTCCTTAATGCCCATCACCCAGTTACCCCATTCCCTCCCCACCTCCCCTCCAGCAATGGAAAGTCATCAGAGAGGGAGAAAAACCATGAGAAACTCCTAACTATAGGAAACAAACTGAAGGTTGATAAAGATGCATTTCACCAACACTGCAAGAAACAAACACCAAAACAAGACCCTGGAGCAAGGGAATCACTTGCTTCAAGTGAGAACCCAAAAGGACAAACTTCTAGGCCTTGATAGCGTCCATTCCTTGGGTTCTCTTCTACAAAAAGTTGCTTTTGCATTCTTCTTTTGCAGAAGGAAGAATAAAATCATGTCAATTTTATACAAATAAAAAAAAATCTCTTAAGGCCACTTTTTGTTGCTCTAGCCATTTTCACCAACGTCCTTGGTATTTCTCTCCTAGCTCTCTTGCCTGAGGTGTCTTTCACATGTCTTCATTCTTCTTGGTACTATAACATATAATGAACATTTCCAGTCTCTTCCGACATTATTTTCCAGGGATGGTTTACAGAAAACATAGCCAACCTATATGGAATATAACATCCGAGGAATATTTCAAACTTATAAGAAAAAAGCTGAGAGGAGAGTTCTTTCTTTTTTTTTTTTTTTAACTAAATGGGTCCACATGCCAGTTAACGGTTTACCAGAACGTTACCTCCTTACATGAGTTGGCTGCCTTTTGCACCAGTTCCCGATGTTGGGGGCGGGGAGATAAAGAAATTGTAAAATATAGAGGAATAATATTATAAACCAACCTGTTGATATTTTGAACGAGAAAGCCCCTTCTACTGCACTAAGTTAAACCCCAACTATAATATAATATTTGGGATGATATTCTAATGTACTAAGGAAGGCCTGTAAGATTTAAATTCTGATCCGTTCACTTCTGATAATTTTTATGATCCGAAAAAGTTCTCTCTCTAATATAAAACCTATCTCCAGCTACCTACTAGTTCCAAAAGCCATTAAATTCTTGCAGATTGAAGGTGGAAAAATAAATTGTGTGTATTTTAGACCCTGAATGATCTTCCTATAGCAATTTTAGAACAAACTATGAAGAATTCTGCAATTTTAATCTCCTCAGTAGCTTCCCATTACTAAACAAGCAGAACGCCACGGTACAAATGTAGACGTTACATGTCATCTTGATCTGCTGCTTTTTTCTTTCATTAAAGCTTTAATGCAGCAATTATGGCTACGTTGCCCTATAAAAAAAGGAAAAGGCAGTTTACTTTAAAAAGTGAAATTGCATAGCCTACTATTTAATTATACACAAATGTAAATGGCCTATTTTTCCATAACTGGTTATTACAGCACTGTTTTACTTTCTGAGTTTTGACAATCTCTAAAACCTACAAAGCTTCCTGCTATATAATTGTTTTGTTACATTATTGTTTTCATCTTATTTTTTCCTTTAATGTGAGTGCAGCGGGATAAATCTTGGTTTTAAGCCAGCCACTACTTCATCTACTTAAGCTTTTATAGATGAAGATTGCTGTAATTATCAGAATACCCGCTTATTTCTGAAGT